CAAACCCTCAATAGCCTACTCTGCAAAGGCTCCTTGATATTTTGTTTGCTCCATAGCAAAGGACTCCTGGCAGGTCTGTCCTGTTTGATCATAGGAGCCTTGCTGAGGAGCTACCGAGGGTGATTTCTGTCAGTCTTGAATACCTTATGACTCAAAAAGCAGACGTTCTTCAAGGTGATAGGCTTCTTCTGTAAGTTGCATCATGGAAATGTTCTGAGCATGAGGGATGCCACTAGCCGATATTCTGGAGCTTGCTCCTGGGCTGGTATTTTGCTGTGCCCTCCAAACCCTGTACACTGGTCTTGTTATTGAGATATTATCTCAAAGGTATTGTTCATCTCTCTTGTTTAATTCTGTCCCACAACAATTTTCTGTAGCTGTTAATTTCTCCAAACTGTTGTATAATCCTGGTCAGTCAGATGACCCACAGTATGCCAGCCTTTTCATGAGCTGTCTTGAAGATATTTTCAGTAAGTTGTGCAACTGTATTGTTATTGTACCAAAGAAAACAGTCTTTGCCATTTGAAAACCCAAACTGCTTTTTTGTGCTTCAAAAAATAACAAAACAAAAGAAAAAACACCACAGACTGAATAACCATGTCAAACTGTCTACAGAATACTCCTGTAAACATTTTCTAAAAACTGCGATCATCACTGGAAGTAGTAATTTGCAAGATTCAGTATATTGACAATACCTGCAAGTTAAGACAGTTCCACTCAAAAAGCTAGCAGCTTTCCAAAATGCACCAGGAGAGCAGTATACAACCGTGCCATCAGATATGAACTGTATTTTTTTTCTGACTACAGTATTTCAGTTGTTCTTAATAAGGTAAGGAGGGCGATTTTAAAAGGTGGTTCTTGCATAATAACAGGTGCAGTCCAGATATATATGAATTTAACACAGAAAGGAAACCAGACTAGTCATACCTAACCAAGAATTAAACAGAACATCCTTAAGTGCTTACAAAGTACTCTGGAAGAAGATTCTATCTTGAAATAAATATTTGCAGAACTGACTCTTTGCATGGTTGATACCAGTCCTTCAACCTCCCAATATTAATCCAAAACAAATTCCTTGTAGCCAGAGTTCACCAAATAGAAATGGACTTTACCTAACCAATAAATACAAAATTTATCAATGCATCTTTCTCCCATAAAAGAGCAACCAAAGAGCCCAATCCCTGTGCATGCACACGATAGAATGCAGTAGACGTTATTTGTCACTCCAAATGCCCTTGTGGAAATTCAGTGTTAAGTTAAAAAAGTCACTGTGTATTAGAATAAAACTGCACAGATAACTGGTAAAGGACAGACGTTCTCGGTTACTGGTAGAAGGGTACTTCTGACAAATCCAGAGCTTGCTTTCTGACCTGCCAGCCCTGATCTTCAAATAAAGCCGGTAAAATACTAGTAAAAACTAGACAGTGTCCTGTTGCTGTGTTACCATGCACTGCCAAACATCATTATTACCTCATTTTTCTGTCCTTCATCCCTGATTGGCTTGAGTGATCTTAATTCATCTGAGGTCAAATCTTTATGTATTTGTGTTTAAAATTGCCCTTCCTCCAGCAGGCTTGCAAGCAATTTTTTGGCTTTGTACTTTCTCACATACTGTACTAGGTGAGAAGGATGCTCTGGTAAGAACCAGCAAAATTAGAAACTGTCACACTCTTGGTGGTGTTCTTGCATGTGGAAAATTGGTTTATGACTCTTTGGAGTGACTTAATCCATGTTCTGAAGAGAGGTTTCTAATAGCTCTGCCTAGTTAGTGCTTCTGAACGTCCTGGTTTATCAGCTGGTGACCAATTCCTTGCCCCTGAATACATCTACTTTGAAATGAAGTTGCAGCTCTGCTGTCAAGAAGCAAGCCCACAGTAGCCTTAACAGAGAACAGGTTGATCTTAATAGCAATAAAGACATCACTTTGTGCAGCAATCTGGATTTCTGTGCAAGTAGACGAGCAAAATGTTTGCCTAGCGTTTCCAAGAGGACTGCTCAGCTGCTGCTGGAGCCAGCTTGCCTTGTTCTGTTGCCACTTTGACGTAGCCCTGGTTTTATAAGTCCCGTTAATCTAACTCAATGTTTTCTTTATTTTCATCTCATAGCCTACAGAACAGATTTACTCTAAAAAATAAAGCTTCCAAACTACACTCTTTTGTTTGACATAATTTTCTGGGTAACAGAGTAAGATACATGAAACTAATACTGTAAAGTTTACTCTGACCTCTTTTCTGTCAGGAACAACCTTCAGCGTCACTGAAGTGTCTTCATATCTAGTTGCTGAATACCTCGTACTCCTCCCTTTAGTCAGTTATCACACTGACAGCTCTTCTTTGAATGAAGAGATAGAAGGAGTGTTTGCTGATTCCTATTTCTTCAATTAGTCAACAGCTTAAAACAAAAAAAAGAGCAACAGCTGGCATCCGTGCTATTTTCTAGTTGTTCTGCTGGTGTAATCAAAGTGAGAGTTTCAGTTAGGGAATCTTATTTTGCATGTGATTTGTGGTTAAATTAATATAGACAGGTATATTGCTTAAGAGGAAAAGGAAAATTGACACCTGGATTATATAAGCTTTCATCTTCAGGATTGCATTGTTCCAATATATTATTGAAACTTTGTCTAATGTTTAAGTAGTTTAGTAGTCTTCCGTTTGCTTTATGTACTAGTTTTTGCTTTTAGTTCAGTTAAGGCTGTAGGAAGTAATTACAGTGAAACCTACGCTAGTTTGAATGAAGAAGAGCTGAAGGTAAATCCAAGCCAGGAAGGCTGTACCGCTAGGCATATGGGATTTTTAGCCATACAATCCTCTTCCTTCAGTGAATATGCAATTGGCCAGTTCCATCCATAACTGAGAAATTGTCTGGACTAGTGAAGACTGAGCTGCCATGCCGTGCTGTGCTTGTAAGCAATGCTTTTGACCATCTCCAGCTGCCTTATAGATCAGCTTTTCCTGACAGGAGATGACCTGGCTTTTGTTGGATTTTTTCCAGCTGCCTCACAGCTTGAATACACCAATGCAGCCAGCCTGTTAATAAGGTCGCTCATTCTATAGGAAGTTTTAGCTAGTAAATAATGTGCTCATGAGATGTGTCTGAGGTATGGATCATATACGTTTGCAGCAGGAAGTCTTTCCCTTTCTACTCTGGCTTCTTATAGTTCCTATAGCTTCAAGTTAAAGATCCAAGTCCTTCATCTTTAACGTGCTTGCTGGCTTGAGTGTAACACAACGGAAAGATGGCAAACAGATCTTGAATAAGAACTGCAGGCAGCAGGTTGGACACAACGGCAAGGATAAAGCTTGTTTGGGCAGTGCGTGGAGCTCTCCCAGGACTGCTCTGGGGCACTGCAGTGAAGTGTTTGCTTCAGGTGGTGGTAGGTATGCATTTTTTTTGTACCTTGAATTCTTCATCATAAATGCACAGCTGTATTTACACTTCAAGTATAAACTGAGACAAAGCTTTCCACATGTGTGTGGAAGTGGTAAGAGGCATCAAACCGTCTGTGAGAGATGTTAGAAATACTGCTTACAGCAGTGTACTGCTGGGAGGGGCTCTGCTGTCTTCATCACAGAAGTGATATAAGAAGCTCAGTGGAATGGAGCTAAAACTCAGGCAACTTCAGGATATTCAGCACAGTGTCTTTTTGCCTTTAAAGGCATTATCTGCTAGTAGTTTTGTAGCAATCCTATGAATGGTTGCTTTAAGCGTGGGGTTGGCTGTTGGAAAATTATACTGTATAAATGGTATTGTTTGTTGTGGTTCGGTGGTTTTCATATTAACTTTGTTCAGTTTTCAATTAAGCGGGGTTTTTTTCTAGTTCTCAGCCTTCCAAGCCTGGCTTGCCTTTTCAGAATGAAGCTGTGCTCTTGACTCAAGAAATTTCTTTGCAGATTAAAGTTCAAAAGGCTAAGTCTTGGTCCAGTGCGATCTTTCATACTCTGCGATACAGCTTCAAACAGTTACACAGGTTGTTCCATGGGTGATCTTGCAACTGGAATTCAAGAGCTCTGCTCATCAGCAAACATACTTCTATTCAAACTTATGCTAGTTTTCCTTTAGATCCGCAATAGTAAAGAGTAAAACAAAACAAATGTGTATCAATTTTGCCAGTCAAGAGTAAATCAAATGTATTTTTTTGTTTGGTTGTTTTGGGTTTTTTTCCCCAAATAAAATTGCATGGTTTAGACAGTTCTTGGATCAGATCTTTACTTCAGTCCATTGCTATCTCAGAAGTAGACAGCTGGAAGCTTTATTATGGTAGCAAACATGAATGATAAAAAACAAACCAAACAGGAGTGAAGGATTGTGTGAGAGCTATGGAAGACTTGCTTAACTGTGAATACTCTCTAAGGATGACATCTGTGAAGAGTTAACTTTGTCGGGTGGTGGTGGGGAAGGTGAGACAAGAGAATCAATTCCAGGACTGTGATTGTATACAGAGGCTTTCAGGATCTTAAAATGTTCCTTGCCTAAATTAATTTATGCAGTGACTTGAAATGTCCTGTTCAGAACTGGGACTAAAAGAATGCTAATTCTTTAATGCGGACACTTGCAAGCTTAATAGAAATTTCAAGTGAAAAAATATTTCATATGCAATATTAATGATCTTGCAAATTCAGACTAATTTTCTTTTCCTTTTCCTTGTTGATTTGCAGCTGCTGTTGGCTTTCTGACAGTTTCCAGTGTCATTACCATGTCAGCTCCTTTCTTTCTGGGTAAAGTTATTGACGTTATTTATACAAATCCCAGTGAAGAATTCACTGACAGCCTGACCAGCCTGTGTGCCTTGCTGAGTGGAATCTTTTTATGTGGTGCTGCTGCTAATGCTACTCGTGTCTACCTCATGCAGACTGCAGGTAAAAACAGAAGCAAAAAGTGCTACTGAGAGTTATCTTTTTTTCACAGAGTCAGGATGTCTAATGATCTGAAATAAATTCTTGGCACTGCGTGAGAGATCCTCTTGGAATCAGTAGCTTTTTTTTACCAGATCAAAGGTAAACTAATAGTGCAAAGATAAATATGCTGGAATAATTGTTCATTTTTATTTACTGTTACGTGACATCTTAAAGCTCACTATCTCATAGTATATGAAAACTCTCTAATGTGACTTGTCCAGTGCTGTGTAATCCTGTGATTTTTATATTGTCAGTGTCTGTGTAATCTTGTGTGCCATGTTTGACTGACTTCTGTTTCTGACAGGACAAAGAATTGTGAAACGTTTGAGAACAACCATGTTCTCCTCTATTCTGAAGCAAGAAACCGCTTTCTTTGACAAGACCAGAACAGGAGAGTTGATAAACCGCTTATCTTCAGATACAGCCCTCTTGGGCCGTTCAGTGACTGAAAACCTTTCAGATGGGCTCAGGGCAGGAGCACAGGCATCTGTGGGGGTTGGAATGATGGTATGGTGGTCTCTTCCCTGCTTGTCACTTCTTGTAGTTTGAAGTTTGTTTCAGTTCTGTTAGGTAATGCGTGAATGTGATTCAGTCCAGAAACTGTTGTGTGATCTTAGATACAAGTGTGTTTCATTGGCTATCCATGTACTGCATTGCAATATAGCCACTTGGCGTTTACTCAAAAACCAAAATATGGAGAATGAGGGTTTGAAATGAGCTGCTGTTGCTGCCTGAATTTATCAAAGCATAGTAGGCAAATAGCTTAACTCGGTTCTTACTGAAGATTTTAAAATCAGTGATAACATTCCCATAGCTGCAGGTAAAATAGGGTGTGAAGGGCCTGATGTAAAAGTCATTGAAGTTGGTTGATTCTGGTTAAGGCCTAGGTGAGCAAAGGCAGCACTGAATATCAAATTATTGCTGAGGATTTTTACAAGTGTCGGCCTTTCTGCTTTAGTCTGTCAGTAAAGAATACATTTAAGTAGGGAGTGTGTTAATGAAGGCTTCCATCCAGTGCATGAGTTAATATTCCTTGGTGGTCAGTTGGTTTATATAAAAATCTGACTTCCTTTGATGTTTTTTGTGGCATTAATTTTTTTTATGCTTATCTGAGAAAAGATACATTGGTGGCAATTATCTTAAATGAAAGTGTCATAATTTGTACTGTCTACCTGGAGTTAAAAACAGATAGCAAAAAGTCTCCTCATAAAAATAAGCTTCCAAGATCGATGTTATTAGAAACTGTTAAGAGTTTCAGGCTTTGAGTGACTTTGTCACTGATAAAAATTATGGATTTCTGTATTTATCTAAGCAAATAGAGTCTAAGGTTTTATCTTACCATAGATTCGCTGGAATAACTTTATATAAGGCATTCTGCTCAAAAATGCTGCCGTTATGCAGTGTTAAAAGGTGGACTATAAAAGCTTGCCCAGAAAGAAGAGATTATTATGAAATAATTATAAAGCCTGTCAATTAAAGTCGATTTTGAATTTTTCTGGAGATTTTTCTGTTTTCAGTACAGAAAGCAAGATGAAATGAAAACACATTAGATCTAATTTCAATAAATCTTATGAAAAGAACCTACTTATGAGCTTTGATGATGATTGTTAGAAGTGATAAAGTTTTGCAACGGTAAATTAAATCCATTATTCCAGGTTATGAGCATTTGTGGGTGCTAGGGAGCACTGGTGACTCCTTCTGTTCCTCAGTTACCCAGAAGTAGTAGGGTATTTCTCTACTCAAACTTTCTGTATTACACCATCTATTTAAAAGTTGTGAAAGCGCTTTAGAAAGTATATAATAGTTTACGTCTTTCAGCATCCCCAAGAGATTTCTGGGTAGGCCTGTTTACTGGCAGGTTAAGATAGTTGTCTAAGACCACACAGCGAACCAGTGAGAAAGCTAGAAATGAAATCCAGACTCCTTTGCTTATAATCCTTTGTTCTAACTGTGGGATACATTCCCTAAATGCTGTGGAGGAATGGATATTTTGCCTAGAAGAAATAAAACATGATAAATGAAAGCAGAGCAGCACTAAATTACAATCCTACTGGTTTTAGAAAACTCTAGCGAGGGAAATTGCACTTCAGTACTCCAGTGGGTTGTTTTTAATCTGAACGCTAACCCCTGACGCATACCTTTTTTCTTCTAGTTTTTTGTGTCTCCTAGCCTTGCTGCATTTGTTTTGAGCGTTGTGCCACCCTTGGCCATCCTGGCTGTGATTTATGGAAGATACTTGCGAAAACTTACTAAAATGACCCAAGATTCTCTTGCAGAAGCAACACAGGTAATCTTTTAACAGACGCTTTCTAGTTAACTTCAAAGTTGCCCTAGTGTATTTAGGTTAATATCTCTGAAGTACAGATCTTATGAAGATAATTGTACTGTTCATTGCCTTAAGCCATGCTGAGCCTTTAGTTTTGCACCTGAACAGTATGAAAGGTAAATGTCAGTAACACTTAACTCATAGATCTCAAAAAAACAACCCTGCTTTGTAAAGAGCTGTGCATAACAATATTTTGTGGAGGTACCAGGCCTTGAGAATTTGGAAATGTAGGAAAGGATAAGGAGGTTAGGTTTTAGGTGTGTGAGAGCATAAAAAAATCAGCCTATGAAGTCCTGTGTGATTTGGTACCTAGGTTTGAAAAACACTTTTTTTGGACTATAGTTATGAGTTTGAAGCCATCAGAAACATCCTAGATGGATCCATCTTTTAAGAAAACTTTGCTAGCAAGTCCTTCTCTGCAATGATTCCTTGACGTTTGACCTTATTGTCAGCTCTCTAATGTTTATGAGGCTTGGCATTTTTTTAAACTTTTCTGGGTGTCTCAACAGATACCCAGCTATCTGGGAGGAAGTAGAGGAAGCTGTTGTTTCTAAAGAGGCTGTTGTAGAGAGGTCTTCATTGTGTTTGCTGACTGCACTGAAATATTCTGTAGCACTATCAGAGAATTGGTATAGTGACCTTTTTCCTCACAGGCTGAGGGTGGGGAAACATCATTAAAATTCATAGAGATATAATTAGGAAAGACCTAGTTAAAATAGCCGCAGTTGTCAGATGTTTTAAACTTGGAATATCCTATGTGGGACTTCCGCAAATGAACTGTGCAGAAGGAAGGTTAGCCCTCTTCTGTTTATTTTCTTTATCCTGTGTTAAAGGGAAGTTCATGTCTTTGTAAACCAGGTGCGGTACTTGAGATGAACAAGCAATTTTAGTGTTCCATTCAAATTTTCAGGTTGAATGGGGGATGGAAGAAGAATTACTACATTTTTATATCATAGTTTTACTCACAAAAGGGGGCCTTGTTTTTTGTAGGACCATCACAGTGTCTATTAACAACTTAGTCTAATTGGTTACAATTGAGGTAATTTTAGAATTAATACTTCACTGTTTAGAAGTTAAAATACTTACTTGAAATGGGACATGAGTAGTTGAGCTAAATTAATTCACAGTGTTGCTTTGATCAAATGAGTGGAATTGTTTCAGGAAATAACTGCAGGCTTTCTTGCAGGCTTTCTTGCATGCTTTAGTGTAGAATAGAATATTCTTTATTTTTTCCCTTCCCACGTTGTTATTGCAAGTTATTGTGAACAGTAATTTTCCTGTGTGTGTTGTTCACATCAAATTAAGTTGGTTTTTTTAACCCTACTTTTATATTTTTCTTTCTCTGCTAACACTTAAGGCAATCTTGAAGTTCTTTTTAACCTGCCTGGGCATGCAGTTTACTTTGAACATAATAGAATTAAATAAAAAAAAGGAGTGGGAGTGGAGGGAGGAGGGCATGAAAAATTTTCCAGTGGTACCCAAAAGAATGTTTTTGGAGATAAGTGTAGTGATATTGGTTTAACTTTCAAATTTCTGTTATGTGAACATTTCAAATTGTGTATCTGTGTGTGTTTTGTTTTGTTCCTTGCTTTAATGTAGTTAGCTGAAGAGCGTATTGGAAACATAAGAACAGTTCGCGCTTTTGGGCAAGAAGTGTCTGAAATGAAGAAGTATACAAATAAAGTTGATTATGTGCTACAGCTGGCTAAAAAAGAGGCACTAGCTCGGGCAGGCTTCTTTGGAGCAGTAAGTGTATTTTGATGAAAGTAAACCAACCATTTTCTGCCAAGCGTCAATTATTTTAAAAGTCATGAGGATACTTATAAATCTGCAAATAAATGATTTGAGTGTAAATTGAACCTACATGAAACTGTGGGAAGTCTGGGCTTAAATCAGTCTAAATTGCTGTGAAACTGCGCCTCAAGATACAGTGGTGTGATAAAGCCAGTGTAAGTCTCTCTCTCTGCCCCACACCCTGTAGCTTGGTACTATTTATCTGAGCCCATACCTTCTGTTCAGGGAACTACACCAGTGGAAGCCTTCCCTCACCCTTAGCATTTTACAGGTTTGGCTTCCTGATGAGGTGAACATCAATGCAAAGGAAGCTGGGGAGCACACAGGTGGGGGAGGGAGAGTGCGATTGCATTTTTCGATAGCAGCTTGCTGTGAGTCTGCTTAAGTATTCTAAAACAGCTACGTAACTGAAGACTTATTAACTCGTCTCCTTTAATGGTGGTTGAGAATAATGTTTGGTGTTCCTTTCCACCTTGGGGTATGAGGTGGAAAAAAACAAAACAAAAAAAACCAAAAAAAGAGTTGTTTGCTTTTTGAACACTTGTTGGATAGCACAGTGCAGTGCCACTTGATGTCTGGCTGGCTGTTGGCTTGGTTTGCTTTAGAATTGGTTTTGTTCAAGTTTAACTCAGTCTTCTAAAAATCTAGATAACCATAGTATTGGAATTCTTTTTAGAAGGAAAATTCTGAAACAACATTTTAGAGGATAAAGTTTACAATGTACGTGACAAAATCTGCCTTTTCCTTTTTTTTTCTTCTTTCTTAGACTGGCCTTTCTGGAAACTTAATTGTCCTCTCAGTCTTATACAAAGGAGGATTACTAATGGGCAGTGCCTACATGACAGTTGGTGAACTCTCATCTTTCCTAATGTATGCTTTCTGGGTTGGAATAAGCATTGGAGGTATGGAATGAGGAATTAGATTTTCCTTCACTTCAAAGCATTACAGTCAGTATGGGGGTGGGAGGGAAGAAGCTCTTAAAAGATCTGGGTTTCTTAAAAAGTCTCTTCCAAATGATCTTCCTAAGAAATCATATATAATTTTTTTTCTGAAGAGTTAATGAAAATGGTAATTTATGACTTAACCTTAATATAAGCCTTCTATTTTCCCAAAGGAATACGGAGGTTATTTTTAAAATGTGTGTATGTGAGGGATACATATTATTTTAATTTTCTTTGGGTCTAAATTAAGATACTTTGTATATTGTGTAAAGAAATAATGCTGGTATTACTTTTTTTTTTACGAAGTATGTGGGTCTGTGTTAAACATACTCTCTTTAGAAAGGCATGTAGAATTTAGCTGTAATTCAGTATAGAGTGTCTTGAGGTGGAAGAGTAAACCAAGTGCCAGCAGGACAATACACTCTGGTGCTAACCTTTTGTTTTTCCTTACTCACTGAGTCCTCCTTGAAGCTCAGACTCTGTAATCTACTGGCCCAGAAACAAACTGTTTATCTTTTTGCCAGAGCAGTCTTCACTACTGCATACAGGCAAAAATGAAGATAAGGTACTTTGACGTTTGACAACTGATTGGAAGGGTTCTTCTTTAAAATGAAGCTGTTACTTCTGATAGACTGGCAGGGCAATGCAGATCGTCTATACTCTTCTAAGACTAAGCCTGATATCATGGCAAGCACAAAGATATGCCTGAGGGCAAAATTCACAAGCCTGCTTCCTTGGATATCAAAATTGCATTGGTGTCCATTCCATCTACCAAACCCCTTTTTTGTCTGTGTAAATCATTCAAGTTTGGTCAACAGACAGATATCTGGCACTTCGAAAACATGGGACAAATGAATGTTAAATAAATTAAAAATCATGTTAGAAATATTGATAAAATGTCATTGAACTTTTTTTTATAAAAAACATCTTTCTAAATTCTACTTAACATTATTGAAGAATATAGTTCTGCACAGAGCTCATTCTCATGAGGACTCTGAAGTAAAGCTGTCTTGCCACAAGAAGCCTGCCTTCCTTGATGCCTACAGAGCATAAAGATCTTCAAAGTGCTAAGTCAGCTTGGTATATGTCATCATCTGTACATACAGGAGTTCATGCAATGAACTGTGAACTTCACTGCATAATTTGGGACTTTGCCTCTTTTTGTTGTAACAGTTTGCTGTGTTTTCTACCAAATACTGAAGACAGGTTATGAAAATTAAAAACATTTTCTCGATAGTATTTGCTGTCCATATTATATAATTATTTTTTTTATGAGTGGTTGTGATTTGCAAACCTCAGTGTCTCAGTTTCAAGGTGCTCTGTGAGGCTTATGCCTTCTCCCCTGTGCCCTGCTCTAGGATGTAGATGCTTTGGCTCTTTTTTCCAAGCAGACACCATGGCTAGTGCCTTGTGTTGCAAGCTTTCAGGTAGTCCTCAGCAGCAGCATGATGAAATGCCCTGTCTACACTTAGATTCATGACCTTGTGCTAGACTTGTTGCTCTGCAAGAATAAACCAGTAAACCTATTTTAATATACCTTGTTTTTTCTGCCCTCCTGAAATCACTCTTAACACTATATGCATTTTAAGGTGGAAGTGGATTATTCTGTTGGAATTCAGAGATTTTGAGATTGGATACTCTGTTTTGAAAGGCACACAAAAAAATGAAGAAATAAGACATTTTATGTCTTACTCTATGTTCTAGGTTAGTTTCTGTGTTTACTTCAGCTGGAAAGCCCTACAGTCACACCAGCTTCCAAGATGATTCACACAGCTGCTAAGAGCTGGGACCCAGTACTGTGTGCAAGCCTTGTCCTAAGCTTTTGCTTTCTCCAGTAATGTTTGAAGGGTGCTGACTTGAGAGACGTATTTCTTTACGCTGTGCATTCTCCTCATAGCTTCTCAAGCATCAGTTCAGCCTTAGTTTTGTGCCTTCCCTCCCCTGTGGCTGACTCAGCCAGGCTGTCCTATAACCCTGTCTGACAAAGGCAGGTGTTCAGAGTGCTCCGTTCTACTGAATGATTTTGAAAATATAGCTGGTTGAGTGCAAGGCTATTTCTCTAAAGTTGGATGCTGTTCCTCCTGACAGATGAATGAAAGAGTTGCTTTGCTTTTGAGTTTACGCAAACTTACGTGTATTAACTTTTTCTATTTTTGTCTTCAGAATGATTTGTTTTGCAGATATAAATAAGAATGGTCAATAAGGGTTTCTGGTAGCTCTGAAGTGAGACTAGATAGGATTTAAATCAACATCTGATAGTGTGTTGGAATAAAAGATCCCCTACACGTCTGATGCTTCAGTACCGGTGATGAAAAGTATAATGCAAATTTAATGTCTTCTATGTCTTCCATTCTATATGGATGCATAATACTGGTCTGCTTTTTGTTTAGGTCTAAGTTCCTTTTATTCCGAACTAATGAAAGGACTAGGTGCTGGTGGACGTCTATGGGAACTTATTGAAAGGAAGCCCCAACTTCCATTTAATGGTAGGTCCTTGGTTTGTTATTGCACATAGGTTGATTTTTCTTTTATTGGTCACCAGTACTTCAGAAGGAAGTGTGTAATACTTAAAGGTAGTACTCACTTGCATTCTTCTGAAAGAAACTAGATACAGATGTAATTCTTCTGACTTTTCCTAACTGTGAAACGGATGATGATGATTTCCTTTAATCAGAAGTTTTAGAAGCTGAAAATGTGGTGGTCTTTTTTCCTTTAATTAATTCAGAATATTTAATTATATTTAAATATAGTAAATAAAAATGTATTGCCAGTGACACTTTATTTACGGCTTTATTGTTTGGAAGCTAGACAACGCCCTTCAGTATTGAATATATTTTGTATAAACACCATTTGCCTGTCTGCATCAAAGTAGTTCAATGAGCTGCTTGTAGAAGATACTTTCTGTGTGACTTGCTGTTTTATTAGCTGCATCCCACTAAGCAAAAGTCATACCTGAGTTTTCATCAGTTCTGTGCATTGTTAAGAAATACAATACAGCAGAGTCAATGTGAGCTGTCAACACTGTAGTTTCCCTCTAAGTTTTGTGTGGTCCTCTAATTTAGAAACTTTTGAAGGGCTGCTGTAAGAGGAAGTGAGAAAAGAACATCCAACATAACAGATTTTTTGATTGAGCTGTAGCTTTAGGAAATAGAGTTTTGAGTTGGTTGATACAGAGGGGTTCTTTTGAAATGCTGTGCTTCAATTTTCTGTTCTGCTTTTGTCTTTCTGCACTGGAATTCTCTGAGTTCTTAATCTGATGGACACCAAGTCACAGTCTGGCCTCTGTCTCATTTCACAGCTGCAAGCCTGTCTGTAGGGTGCTTTTCAATGTGAATAGACTTTACATAGCCAGTGAAAAGTAACAATATTGTCTCCAATGGATGGCGGCAGACTTAGAATAGCAGCCATTTGCCCAAAAGGTAACCACCACCAAGCTGATGAAGGGATAGCTGCACACTCTTGTCTTTAGCAGTGAAGCTGGCTTAAACTTCCTGCCATGACTAACTATCCAGGGCCACACTGTAGTTTGCTCTGCCCTTCATAGACCTAGTGCAACTGTTGATTTCATCATCATTTGGATGTGATTTTTTTTCTTTTTTTTTTTAAAATCTGGATTATTTCAGTGGTCTTCATCTTTACAGTGGCCCCAGTGCAGAGTAAGCCAGTAGTATTGGAGCAGTTGTTGTCTTTCCCACTGAAGGTATTGAATTGTTCAATTACACCAATAGTGACATCTAGAAACCAATATTTTATAGACTGAACAAAAACTGGACAAAGTTTCAGATATCTATGTAGCATAGACTTACAGAAAGCCTCTTTTAAGTTTCCTTTCAGTATAAACTAAATACATAGGCAAGGGTATAATCCTTTGTCTCAAAAAACAATTATAGTTGATTTCTGGCTCATCAGACAATAAAACCAAGAGACTGTTTCTCTACTGTCCAAACCCACCTGAAACATCTACTCTCTTGGCTACTTAGGTTTTATTTTCATGGAACTCCTCCTGTTGTTGGTGGCAACAAATATCTCAGGAACAAATTATAATGTCTTTTTTTTCCCTATATCTAGAATCCAAAGAAGAAACAAGCACAATCCTGCATATAGCTTTTATTTATTTTTACAGTAATATATAGAGGAAGGACTTGTGGTACCAGACTTCCTGTATTGCAGTAGATTTCAGTGTTTCTGGCCATGGAATAGACTGTGCTGTAACTGGAACTGTGAATAAAGATAAGCCATTACTTTCATAACAGTAAGGGTTATGCTGTTAGCACAGGATTTAGTAAATACATTTCTTTTCCCAAAGAAAGACCATTGTACTTTTACCTAACAAACAAGTTACAATAGGTGTGTCCATGGATTAAAGTCAAGGACGGAGTCTGAAATTGTACGCTTTTGTCTTTGCCGTTTCTGTCCTATTACCGTTAGACTGAAAGCCTGGAGAAGGGGAGGGAATCTGGGAAAAAGAAAAGCAAAACAAATTATTTGCTCTAGGACCAGCAGGACTAGTGAAATCTTGATTGTTACTGATGGGTTGTCTGGGTTTCCTATCCACAGTTACTGTTTAACCAAACACGGGCACGTGCTACTGTGTGCTGTGGCTAGTTGGGTGTTACTCGTGTGCTGTGTCTGAAAAGAATTAAGGGGTTGGAGTTGCATGACTTTAGCATGAACAAGCACTACTTGGGTGTTGCTCTGGTGCTGCCAGTTTTCATAAAACTGGTAGGATCTTCGTCAGTGAGACTCTGTCCTTCAGGAATGTGGCACCACTGTCCAGTTAGTTTGCTTTGTACGCATATGTGTCGCTGGGATTTAACGGGGCTTGAAGAAATTGTGTTTCGTTGTCTTACCTATTTATAAGCTTTTTCTGGTACTGACAATCTTTTAAGATAATTGTTTAAATCAAATGCTGCACTCCAGAAAGAAGCTGGGTTTATTTAACTTTGGCATTCATTCATGATCGTTTGTTGTTGTATTTCACAAATGGGAATTTTAGTTTCAGTGAACTGTTGCCTAAGAATTATGCCTCTGATTGGTCTTTGAATACACTGTTGTCCTGAATTTATTAAATATACTTTCCACTTAAAAAAAAAAAAAATCTAAAAAATGGCCATTACTGCAACAAACCTAGCAGCAGCTTTATTTCAGTGACCGACAGCCTTTGCTTAAAATCTACGCAGTTAACAGGTAGCAGAGAGGAAACTGCTTTTGTCCAACAGGGAGGGTGTTTCAGGTGACTTTTGTGGCTTGGTGAAAGGGCACCAAGTGATTTGCAATGTTTATCTTTTTGCATCTGTTCTATGGCAACGGGACTTTGGCCTTCAACAATGCCATATTATTTCATTGCTCCTAATTGACAAAACTTAAATTGTTTATAATATGTTTAAAAATTCAGATAATTATACTACAAGTGAACATTGTCAGGTCTTAGCAAAATGCAAATTCTCTCTCTTGGTGTAGGTAGCCTACAGGTTCGCTGCTGGTGAGCAACCTGAAATTGCATTCAGTAATGAGTGGTGTACCACACTGATTCAGTCATGGCTGAAATATAACCCCTCTGATTCTGAATTGTGGCTTGCAGCTATCCCTAGATTTAACACGGAGATAGATATTTCTGTTGAGTATCTGTAAATCAAGTTCTAGGATGGCTGAGCTGATTTTTTTCTGTTCACATTTCTGTATTTTATTCTTTGTCATACAGAGGGAATAACATTAGGCAAAGACACATTCAGAGGTGCTTTGGAATTCAAGGACGTTCAGTTTGCATATCCAACACGTCCAGAAACATCCATTTTCAAAGATTTTAGCCTTTCCATTCCAGCTGGCTCTGTTATGGCTCTGGTTGGCCCTAGTGGTACAGGGAAATCGACTATTGTATCCCTTCTGCTGAGGCTGTATGATCCTATCTCAGGTACGCTTTGTGTGTTGCTCTCATTCATGACAGTTGATGCTTTACATCTTAGATACACCTTATAAACAGTGCTTGAGGTCCTGATGTGATTATTCCACTGAGGCACCATGCGTCCCTCTGAGGCGTATGGGTACCTGGTGGTGGTGCCCACATAGCTTCGTGTTTCTGATCCACCAGTATGTGATTCCTCAGGGGTCGTTGTTCTCTACTGTTCTTTCTGCCTCTTTTCAGTACTTATCAAACACACTTGACTCTACTGTTTCTTATTTTCAGGTACTATCACTGTTGATGGCTTTGATATCCGTCAGTTAAATCCACTGTGGTTCAGGACAAAGATTGGAACAGTGAGTCAGGTAGGAAGAAAAAATATTTCTAAGTGAATGAAATAATTTTGTGTAATCAACCAGCTGTGCTTTGCTTTTCATCTTTTTAACTGACTAACTGCTGTTGTGCATGCTTTATTCTAAAAATAAGTATTCAGAGCTAATACTGTTATTCTGTAGTCTGTTTTTACATAATCATAGAGATTCAAAGTGTTAGCTTGAAAGAAAAGTGTGCATGTGGAGACTGGAAAGTACCTTGTTGCAAATTGTGTATGTATGACCATCTTGATGTGTGCTATGATTTGTTGAAGAAAATAACACAAAGCTTAACATTTAATCACATTTTGTATTAATGGCAGTTACACAATCATATTTTACACGACCACTTGAAAACTGACCTTCTGTGCTCTGTGTTGTTTCCAGGCTTACTCCTGTAGTGCCCTATCCTTAGCAACCCCTAGACTCTGAAAGTACAGAGAGATGTTCAATGGTATTTAAAAAAGAAACTATTTGACTGATTAAACTATGTATGTTCCTTCCCTCATCTCCCCAGATGCTTCACGGTGCAATTACCCGTTAGGCTGATGTTCTGATTAAAAGCAAAAATTATTTTCCTGTGGGCACATTAGCATTTTTCTTTTTGAATGTATGTATTCTACTTGAGTTACCAGTAGGAGATTCATACTGGTATTCGTACTGCAGCATGTCTCTCCTTTATTTTATAAACAGAGCAGACTTACCTTCAGACATTATCCCATTGTACATTACTTGACCTGTCAGTCCTCTTCTCTGATTTAAGCTTTACTATAAATTAAATGCACAAAATGTCATGAAATCTGTGTAGACATTTTTAAGAGAAGAATCATTGTTGCAAATGATATGTAGTAAAGTACAAAGGGGAGGTGTTCTGATGTTTGGATGAATAGCTCTTTCTGCACTCTTCCTCAAATATTACGAATTGAGGGTTATGTCGTTTAAAAAAGCAACTTATTTTTTAATTGGTTTTGACTGCCCATTTTGGTGTTAGGAGAGGGTTTTTTTCTGTTTGTTTTTAATTCAATTTACTCTAGCTTAGGTATTCTTTTGTATGTATGTACAAGAAATTAATGCTGGATCTTCTAAGTGGGATTTATGTTATTTATGTTATATTAGATGCATGTAATTGCAGAGCTACCATATTAGTTATGTTTTTGAATTTATCAGGAACCCATTCTGTTCTCCTGTTCTATCGCTGAAAATATTGCCTATGGTGCAGAGGATCCTTCTACTGTGACTGCAGAGGAGATTCAGAAAGTTGCAGAAATAGCTAATGCTGCTAGCTTTATTAGAGGTTTTCCAAAAGGATTTGACACTGTAGTTGGAGAAAAAGGCATTCTGCTTTCAGGTACATCTTTATATTGGTTATTTTAAAAATCTCAATACTATTCTGTTAGTTTTTGTCACCAGTTTTTTCTCAAAGTCATAGCCTGCCATAAGTATTAAAAAAAATCCCTCCTTCATCTCCATCCCCCCCCTGCCCTCCCACTATAAAGTATCCATTCCTAATTCTGCTCAGCCCAGGCATTCAGTTAAAATTACTTCACATCTGTTTTCCTGTTTCAATTTCTGAGTTTTTCCCCCCAGGTGGACAGAAGCAACGAATTGCGATTGCTCGAGCTCTGCTCAAGGTAAGCCAGCACCCAAATAGCTATTTAATTACTTTGTGGGGAGGCAGGAAGGGTTAAAAAGGAGGAGGCCTTTCAATGGGAGAGGTGGAAAAATATTTTTAAAAAGAAAATTATATCTTTTATATTAATGAGGAAGTTTGAGAGGGCTGAGTAGTTTAACTAAAGACAATTTACTTCTGTAAGTTCTTCCTCTTTCAGTCATGTTTTTGATAATTATTGCCAAGATTGATGGTAAATTATTGTATAATGGCTCACTTTCATAAGACCAGGTCAAGGACCAAGGAAGACTTTAAGAATGTGGTGCTAGTAAACTCGTATATGACGCTTCTGTTTCTCTGTTCACATCTTTATCACTCATGCATTGATTTTTTTCTGGGTTGCAGCTTACCAACACTATAGATGCCATGCCTTGGCTTTGACTTTTGGCTGGTCTGGATTTGGGACAAGTTACTATTTCAGGCACAATGTTGTGTCATTTTTTTTTCTTCAAGGGTTGGCATGGGTCTAGCTTTAGGGCAGGCTCTGTGCTGCACAAATTTGAGGAGGCTTCTGAGTATCAGAAGGACATGAGGAGTTTGGTTCAGGGACGGCCATGGGCCCTCACAGGGTGGCTGACGCTCAGCTGGAAGTTTTGAGCCCTCCTGAACCCAGCTTACATTCACGTTAGGCTGCACCTGTCACTATAGCATCCTAGCATGCCCAGATCTGCTAGATTCCTAGGAATTTTTTATTATACCAGTTCTCTTTTACTACAAATGCTGAAAAGCTGATTGTGATGCATGTCAAGTACAGTTCATGGGAGTAGAGACTTTATTTGCGGGGGGGAAGTTTTAAAAAATAAATGAGTAGTTGATATATATATGTGATTGGGGGTGCAGTGGAGTCCCTGCTCTTCCAGATAAAGTCTGAAGCTTTTACTGTCAACTTCATCAAGCAAGTTTGGATTATGTACTGTAATTCAGAAAAAGCTTCTTAGGGATTTAAGTGCTCCTGATTTATTTTTTATTTTTTTTATTTAATTGGGAAGGGTTCTTAAATGCTCGTTCTTAGGTACTAGGTATTTCATCTGTGGGTAAAATACTGCTTGTTGGTAGTTTTTTGTTATTTTTTTGTTACTGGACAGTTATATATAGCAGACTGACTGCAAGCAGAGGGTAGCTCAGCCTCTTTGAAAGATCCACGTAAAAGCAGTAAATAGAAAATTGAACTTTCGACCACAGTGCTGCCAAGTATTCATTAAAAATCATTTCCCACCTGTAGTTTGTATCTTTCAAATAGTGATCTGGTAATAGTGTTCTTTATTTTGCAAAATTTGAAGATGGAGGGGTGTTGTTTCTGTTTTGTCCTCTTAGCATTTAGACTTTTTAAAAGTAATGCGTTGAATGACAGTTCTTTTGATGAAATAAGCACACTTACTTAGAGTTTTAAGCTGTACGAATCCTGTTCTCTATTGATAGAAATATTCAGATCTTGTCTAATTGTTATTATAACCAATTTTACTTTCTTCTTCAGAATCCTAAAATTCTTCTCTTAGATGAAGCAACAAGGTAAGAAAGAAAACAAATAGAAACTTAGAAATTATTTGTCTCTAAAACTCAGATATGTGAGGTGCTCTCTCTTCTTTCTCTGCATGCCTGTGCACAAATTATCTAGCCCCTTATTTTTCTGAATCACAACAAGAATGTGCTTTCTAGAATGTGTGAATTGGTTAGGAGACCTGTGAGAAGCTGTTTATGCAAAGTAGAAAGGATAGCTGGTACACTGTGTTGTAATTTTTCATGGAGTTAAATTTGTAATATGTAAATTGATTTTGAAACATCTACTTAAAGCTTTTTTGTATCTTTAGTTTAAATAAAGATCTTAAAGTGCAGTTATACTGCAGTATAACTTAATTTTTTTTCACTGAATTAATTTAGTGTTATTTCTCCATGCATATTTTTGCATATGAGAATATGTAATGCCTGTAACTTGCATGTGTGCACTATGCAGTCACGAAACTTTCCTGCAGTTCCATTGGTGGTTCTTCACCAATGATAGCAAGGGTTTGCAGTTTTAGCAAAATAAGCCTAATGCATATGAAACTAACCTGTCTTAAAATAACAAATATCTTCCCTGCTTCCTATTTCTTACTAGTGCTTTGGATGCTGAAAATGAGTACCTAGTGCAAGAAGCTCTGGACCGGCTGATGGAAGGGAGGACAGTCCTAATTATTGCTCATCGTCTGTCTACTATTCAGAATGCTGATTTTGTTGCAGTCCTTGGCCAGGGTAAAATTCTTGAATGTGGAAAACATGAAGAACTACTTGCAAATCCAAACGGACTTTTCAGGAAACTAATGCAGAAACAAGCTTTTCTTCAGAATAGTGATACTTTTGCCTTAGATTTACAATCTAGAGAAAAGGATGTATTAAAAGAAAATGTATGAGAGAATGTATGAATAGTGGAAGCTTACAAACTACAAAGAATATAACTTATGTTTCAGTGATGTAAAGTAAATGTTATATTTTTTCAAAATGTACAAAATATTCTTTTGAAACTTAAATGTTTAAACTTTTTATTGAAAGCTTTTTAATAATTATTGCAACTTTTTAAAATGTCTATCACATTGAGAGAATTTCAGTGTATAGATTTTTCTGCTTTGTGTTATGGTAATTGAGACCATTTAGAATCTTGTTTGCTATAATGCATTGTATGATGATGTGCTGTGTTCTCAAGTACGTTCAGTATTTCAAAGGTAATTAAATGACAATCTTATTTTCACATCATTGTCTCTTTCCTTTTCAAGGAACTTTTGCTTTCTGTGCTTGTCAGTAGTCTTAAAATGCTGAATTAATGTAGTCTGAAAGTTCTGACTTTCACTGCACTGTTCTTTCAGTTACCATTTGTTCTGAAATGTGAAGGTTGATTTTGATCACCATCTACAGTTACTGTAGAGAATTACATATAAGAAAACATTTTAGAGAATATGGAGGGATGAGTTGGAGGAAAGTTCTTTAAAAAACAAAAAACCTAACAAAAAAGCAACCAAACAAAAACCCTAACTGACTTTACATAATGACAAAGGAAGTGCATCCATATATTAGTATATTAAATCAGCCTATGAAAGTATAAAATGTGCATGTATTTTCTTCCCATCTCCATTTTTCCAATTCTTTAGTTTCACTTCCCTTCTAAGATGATGTCCAAAAGAACAGAGTCTTGTATATGTAAGTTTTTTTGTCCTTTTATAAGGCATATGTAAGGGTTTTCTTATTGTTACTTAAAATTTCATTCATGGAAATCCCAGGTTTTGCCTAACTGCCTTATTAGGGACAACTAGTAAACTACCTTCTCAAGGAGAACTGGTAAAATAATAGCATTGCACTAATTTGAATCACTGCAGGAGGGTAGATTTGGCAGCAAAGAGCAGGCTTCCTGTTTCTAATTTTAAGAATCTCTTCCAATAGAATCTCTGTAGACTTTCTAAAGATGCAAAACCCCACAAGATAATTTGAAAAAGCTAGAAGCTTTCCAGGTCACATTAAAACTCTCATCTATGCCAGGAAAACTTGTTGCTGGAAAACTTTATTGGCAATAGGTAAGGTGTCTAGTGCTGGGAAAGCTTAAAATGTTTATCTAATCTGCAATTAATGGCACTTTGTGGACCATAGTGAAAACGCTAAAGAGATTCCCATGCTAAGGAATGAACATAAAATTACATCCAGATGTAAACAGAGTACTGATCACAACATCATCACTGTAGTGAATGATTGGCATCCCTGAAAGAGCTAAAGTTCTTTCAGCTTAGGTTTCAAGTAGTTAATGCAATTTTTTGCTTCAGTCTTCTGATACAGAGAGTCCCTTTTCTGTCAAAACTTTTATTATTGAAAAGGGAGTGGATTACAGTTAGGGGAGAAACAGAAGAGAATATCCTGCCTTTGTGATCTCTGCCAGCTCTGTCTTCGCATTTCCACTGCTCAACATTTTTCTTGAAGGGAGAGAATTGTTTCCAGTTACTTAAGAGATCCTCAACTCATGATGCAGTGATCCAATACTCTGACCTATTAGGGAACTCTGTATTCTGGTGAGCTAGATATTACATATCTTATGAAGAAAATGGTACTGATCTTTTATACACATCTTTGTTTAAAGATCTGCCTAGTCCCATAAAGCATATTCAGTTAAGCATGAGAATTTTTATTGGCTCTGCAGGTGATGGAGTTTGCCGCTATCCTTTCAAACTAATTCTTTTTCTAAATAGGTAGGCAGCTATTTGTGGCTAATCTACCCAATCAGTGTATTTATACTGTTTTTCAATCCATCAATTAAAAAAAAAAAAAAACAATCCCATGTATTTTGAAGTTGTAGCTGTAATGTAAGTCCACTATTTACATTCTCTTACTTCAAGTCCCCACCAGGTCAGGGTAGTCAGAATTGGCAGCTGGACATTCACCCTGTTCAGGTGAAAAACAAACACCACATGAATCCCAGTTCAAGAACTGGTTAAGTCTCTAACCGCTATCAGCATAAACTGCGTGTAGAAAATGAGGTTTAAAGGTTGAGTTGTGTCCTCTCTCCTGAAGATGGAGCTCTTAACACAGGGCTGGGACAGCAAAAAAAAGCCCAGTAATTCCCTGAGGAAGTGTAGCAAAGCATATACAGGATTCCATCAGAAAAACCTGACTACTCACACTGCGTCATTTTAAATATTTTAGAAATGAGATGTGAAGGGGAGCTTTCAGTTTTTAAAATAATATAATGGATGTTGGGAAATGTGGATGGCAGCTTGAATTTTACTCAGTTTTTCCCCATTTGTGTGTTTGTGTACGTGTCTTCTGGTTTGTTTTTTTGTGATGAAACAACAGTAATATGATGATGATTTAGTATCACTACCTGAAGTATAATAGAGAAGGCTAAATAGAAGAATACTACATTAATGTAACAGTAGAGTGAAGCTCCACTAAACGCTCATATTTTTGCTTGTCCCATAAAATCAAAGCAAAAGGAGATGGAGCAAAGTTAAAAGGCAAAGCACTGGAACAGGTGCCTCATCCTTCAGTACTGCCAGATGAAGCATCTCAAGTTTACCTCCTCTGCATTTCAAGTTCAGTCATATTGGACGACAATCCACACAGAAACTTAACAGCCATAACTCTTTTAATCAAAGAATGCATTTCTGGAAAATGATGGGATTTTTTTTTAATATTTTATTTTTAGTTAATTTTATCTTAACTAATTAGCTTCATTGGTAATATACATGCAAGTCAAGGTCTTCCCCAAGTAGATGGTACATACATACCTTCTGAAAGCTTTTTCATACAAACCAATGCAGCTGAGTATTTTCTTTAAATGAGAAAATTTTCTTCCCCTTTAAGATTAAAATCTAATTCTATACCAGTTGCAGGGTGTGACTGTTATTTACCATAGATGTGTGACATACCAAGGTTTACACGGAATACGTTTTCATTTTTTTCTTTTTAAATTTTTATTAGAAATTTGGGGACAAACACAGGTTACAGCAGAGGCTATTTTAAAGATAAGGTAACTCTATTAGTGGAATACGCATCCTTCCAAAAGTGCTGAACAGCAGATTTTCGAGCGTACCCAGCTGCCTTTCTCTGCTCAAGTTGTTTAGGGCCAAAACTGCACAAACTCAGTGAAAACCAGCCTCGTGCATCCCTCCGGGCGCATCCCGAAGGACTGAGCGCATCCAGCCTTCTTCAGGAAGACCCGAGCGAGGGACCCATGTTTTTGGGAGACCCCCAGACAGACCTGGCTGCCTAAGCCGCTGTGTGAGGAAAGGCCCCTGTGCTGGGCAGGAGGGCAAGGCGAAACAACCCTCCTCTGAAGGTAACAACGTGCCAGCGGGCCGGAACCAGTCTCCTTCTGCTCGCCCCCTCCGCAGGGGGAAAACCCCTCTTCCGAGGCCAGCGGGAGCACTGGTGCAGCCAAGGTAGAAATAGGACACTTCTGCGTTAACGCTTGCGTCTGTGACAACCACAATGTACTTATGAGGGTAGTT